GAGGGAGGGAGGGAGGGAGGGAGGGAGGGAGGGAGGGAGGGAGGGAGGGAGAAAGGAAGGATGGATAGATGAACGAGGGTGGAATATGTCCAAGTTTGTGCTTGGAAGTGAGAGGTAAAAGAACTCCTAATCTCACATAGTTAGAATTCAATCAAACACAGCTGAAAGTAGAAAAATTAAGAAGGGATAATGTAAGGTGAGTATTTAAATAAACAGAAGTACACACTGGAAAAACAATGACTGCAAGACCTTGCTTCAGTGAGCGGGAAATGAAGAAGGGGGTGAGATGGGGACTTCCTCTGTCCCTGTGTTAGACAAGTGTCCGGCAGGGGTGCTTACCTGCAGAAACTGAGTGAATTCCACATAGTTCAGGTGCTTCTTGCGGTTGTGCCCAAAGTGCAGCCGGATGAATTCGCAGTCCCAGTTAAAAGGGATGTGGTGGTGGATAATAGTCTGTCCAAAAATCTCCTTGACGTTTTCTTAAAAAGGGAAAAGAAAGTCGCATGAGTCACACTGTCACCGAATCATCTGATCCACTGCAATGCTCCTACAGAGAAGAATTAGGGAAAGTTTAAAAAGCCAAGACCGTCTGCTTCTACTAAGAGGAACCGCAAATCTCTTTGTGCCCAGAAACCCATGCAGGAACGCAACTGATACAAATATAATTTTTCACTTAAGACTGTGTACTGTTACATATGAGGCCATGAGAGTCTTAATTTCTCTAGATTTAATTTTAATTAGGAAGCGACTTCTATCTTGCAATATAAATAACTGCTACTTTACATTCCAGCATAAAATCAATAGCGCTTTCCTGGTTCCTCAAGGAGTTGAATTAAGCCTTTTATCAGAAGTGTGAATACCTAAATTACAGTATAATGCAATATTTGTCATACTAAGTATGGTTTGATTGAGGCATGATTATTACATTCACACTAGCCTGAATATGACTATTGAAGATAGCTATAAGAAATACTACCAACAGCATATCATTAGCTCAGCAGTAAAGCACCTTATTAAAACTAATAGTGTCAAAAATAGGGTCTTGCCACAAAGCCTCAGAATCCCCCTAAAATCCATGATTATTAGTCTGAACTATTAAAATATTTTAAGATAAGTGAAATTAGTGATCCGCTTGTCAATGAAGAACCATCCACGGGACGCTAACTTTTTGGTAGGTACCGGTCGCGCTATATGATACAACCAGAGCTCTGTTGCCTGTCTTCCTGCACCAGCAAGATCATTCACTTTCTTACAGTTTCACATTTATTACAAAAACTGGTTTGCAAATGACTACTACTTTAACAGGCATAGACTGGGTAGACGAATTCAGAAGCTCATGCCAAAAAAAACCAAAAATTCATTAGCAGAGTTAAGCGAGCAGGAGCCTTTTTTAGTGATGTCTTAAGAACCAAATTATTTCCCAATTTAAGCCAATTTTATTAGTGAAAGCGTTCTGCCATCAATAGCTATCAATTATCCTAAAGAATTAATAAGCATAGGCTGAATGTTTTATAATCACCTCTAACTGTGTTGTTTTCTCTGGATATTGACAGTCTTTGAATACAATACCCATCTCGGAACTGGCGAGGGTCTGATGGATTCCCTTTGTTTCATGGACCCTTTTTCTTAATGAAAGTGTTGCATCTGGGCAACTCTCCTAGAAGTCTGAACTCAAGGGGACAGCTCTAGTTTACAGGGCGTAGCGAAGTCAAAAGGAGGCATTGGATGTCACTGGGGAGATGGGATTCTCCTCTTCTCTCTCAAATAAATGGATGCAGGATTTCTTGGCAAAGTAGCAACAAGATCTCAGCGTTTTCAACCCATGCCAAGTATGTCCACCTTAAACATAAACTAAACACTGTATGGGGCTTTTATTCTGAAAAGACTACAGTATCAATTCATGAGATGCTGGCTCAAATCAATGGGAAAGGTTAGCCTTAAAACAAGACCCTGGGGATGTAGCTTGTGTAGAGCGTTTGCCCATCGTGCATGAGATCATGGATCCAGTCCCCAGATCCTCTACCTCAGGGGGTGTGTGGGGGGGATGTAAATGAAATTTCAAGTTGTAAAATATGCTAAAGCTTATAAAATAATTTAAACAGTTAGGATTGTAAAATGTTTAAAATATGGAATACTAGTAAAAATGTTTTTAGGATCCATCTAATTATAACTAAGTCACTATATTCCCAAATTAACTAACTTTACTTGATTTAGAAGTCTAACAAACCAGACAGGGCTGTGCCTGTCTTTAATCTCAGCATTCAGGAAGCAGAGGCAGGAGGAGGATCTATGTGAATTGGAGGCCAGCCTGGTCTACATAAAGAATACCAGGCCTGTCAGAGCTACATGGGAGACCCTGTCTCAAAAAAAAAAAAAAAAAGAAAGAAAGAAAGAAAAAGCCTAACAAAAGAGGTGTTTAAACTAACAGATGAAAAGCAGAATAGAATGCAGAATAGGGTAACACAAATTATTGCATTTCATGGTCACTTCCGTTTTTAAGGTTGTAATTCACAATATTCAATTATTTAATATGAAATGTACACACTGTTACATAGCAGGTCTGAGTCTGCTTAGCGTGGCAATATCTCTAAAACAAAAACAAAAGACAAGGAAAAATATAGGCATAATTTTTAATGTATCAATAGATAAAACCGAATCCCTTTTGTATGGTTTAGAAATTATCTTAAGTGTGAAAAAGCCTTAAATAAAGTCAAAGACTCAAAAGCCTTCAAACAACAGACAAAAAATGTAGTCATTTCTATTTTTTTCCTGATGTCACCAAAATAACTACATTGTCTTTATTTATGCATTTATTTGTCATAGTGGGTATTGAGTCCAGGGCTTTAAGCATTTGAGGTAAGTATCCTAAGTATCCTGCTAGTGATCTCTACTCCTCATCCCCAATTCTTTTTAATTTTTTATTTTGAGACAGGGTGTCATTGCCCAGGCTGAGCCTGAACTCACTCTGAAGCCTAAGTGGGCCTTAAATTTACAATCCTCCCGTCTCAGCCTCCTCGTGGCTGGAATTACAGGCCTACACTACTGTGCCTGATAGAGTTTCCACTTGGCTTGGTTTTGTTATTTGAAACAGTGTTTCATACTGATACCCAGTGTGGCCGTGAACTCTTGGCAATCCCCCTGCTTCTGAAGACTGGCGTTATAGGCATGAGCTACCATACTGGGCTTACACACTAAATTTACACAACATATTAGGAAGAAAATCTTGATAGTGAAAAAGAAATTGTTAAAATGGTGCTAACGATTGAAACTATGCCAAGCCAAGGCTAAGCAAGCAGTCTACCAGGGAGCCACGCCCCGGCCCTATAATAAAGGCTTTTAGTGGTAAACTTTCTTACTAACATCCTAGCAATCTATGAAATCTTAGACTGCTGTTCAAGCAATTAAAATAGTCATCTAAATTAGTCATAGCCGGCTCTCAAATACAGAAGTGGCGTTTTCTACGAGTAGTATCTGGACATTTTCCACTTCTCCCCAAATGGTCCCCTGCTAGCTCTGCATGGCTTCATTGAAACATCATCCACCAGTTTATTAACTATTCCATGGTACTTTCAGTTCTTTGCAACACAGCCCGGGGCTGCAACTGGAGTCACCAGGGCTGCTAAGACTGTAAACCTCTCTTGGCATCTCTCGAGATGTAGTCTACAAATCTGTTACCAGTCCAGGATCCGTCTCCTGAAGCCGGCTCAGAAATGTCACAGACAGAGTCAACTACTGACGTCCAATTTATAATCGCACATGTTCCTACACTGGGATGTGTTTACAAAACAACATGATGTCAGAGCCCGAGGACTAAGGAGCCTATACCTGCATGAGTCTATAGCTCCAGCAGCAGCGGCCGCAATTATCTTCCTGGGTCAGCAGGTCTCACAGGACCTGAGAAGGGGAACTGCCATTAACCCCGAGCATACCTGCCCTATCTCACCGCTCTGTGTGAAGTTTCCTACCCAAAGAGAATCCCACCTTTCCAGGGGCAAACAAGGATTTTTAGCTCTAAATAGCACTCTTTACGAGCACTATTTCCGTGGCCGCAGTTCTGGCCTGGCGTGACAGTCACATCTTGGCAGCGAGATCATGATCCAGGAGGTTATACTAGGTTGGCACTGCTCAGAGAAACGGGAATCCATTCATGCTTCTGACAGAGAAAACAATAGACCACTTTTAAACTTCCTGCGGAGAGCATGGGCTTTGGGAAAAAGACGCCTTACAATTCCTTTGAAGAGGGAATCGGGGCCAGATAGCAAAAGGAGCTTGTCAGTATGTTCTCTTGGCTCCAAAGGAGATGAGCACGTGATTTGTCAGGAGGGCAGGTAACGGTGACAATGTGATTAAGCAAAAAATGTTCCAAGAACTTCTATTAGTCAGTTTAGCTCTATCAGTCTCTTATAAAGACTGGGCTTGGTGAAATACACATTGAAGCATATTATGTAAATTCGTCTTAACAGAGTTGTCCATTTCCCCAGCAGCCCACACTTCGTCTCCCCATCTCATCCACCCTCATCCCGCCCCTGGTTCTCATGGGCACTTCCTCCAGGGTCTTGATCACCTTTCTGCAGTACAAAATTACCTCTGACCGGGGCTGGCACTCTTCTCCAAGACTGCCACCATGCCTGCTCCATGAATGAGCCTGGAAGGAGCTGCTGTACCAACGGTGTGGCCAGAGAACTCCTCCTGTAGGTATACAAGCCATCAGCCCCATGACACAGCCCGCCTACCATCAGCCCAGCCTGACATCCTGATTTCAAGGATCCCAGCCCAGCAGGAGCCGCTGCTTCCACCTTAAAGGCTTGAGACCAAGCATTTCTTATTGCCAGGGGAAATTTTTTCCTCAGCAGCTGGGTTTCACCTACACAGCGTTTAGGGCGAAGTCAGAGAGGCCCTGAGGATACCTGTGGTAAATGGTGACTGCCCTGGTGTATAATTGAACAGACACAACAGTGAGACTTGTCGATGTGCTTTTCAGTGAAGGAAAAGTTGGGAGGGAAGAAGAGGAACAACTAGGAACCCAGGAAAGAAAACAAACACCAACAACAATAACAACAGAAAAGAGCAACAGCCGGAACTGGAGGAGGAAGTCCCAGCCGAAGCGTGCAGACTCTCCAGGAAGTTTAGGGACCTGGGTGACCTGCCTCTGGACTCCGAGGGAAGCGTCTGTTAGCTTTACCTACCTCCAGAAGGGATTACTGTATGAGCAGTCAAATGGAGCAGTCCTGCTGCCAAATACACGCAAAGGTTCGTTTCTCAGGGAAGATGAGTTCACGGTTAAAGAGCATCACAGACGCTACAAGCCTTGACATTAACAGTCAGCCATCGAGTGACATAAAACGCGTCCTCTCCTTTAGCCTCAAACTCTAAGCTACTTTGTAGCTTGTGTATTTTTTTTTCCCAAAATGGCCCTTTCTGTGATGTCTAAAAACAATACGAAGAATCTTAAAATCTCTTTGTGATTTAATCAAACACCCCATGTGCCCATACAGCACACAATTATCCTAGTCTTATGGCCATAGACTCTCACGTCATCCAAGTCTACAGTTTTGTCTCCCTAGGACGGGCACACACAGGGTTCATGGTGTTTACACCACCGTGTCCTGACACTTGGAATACCAGCGGTGGCTCTGCCTTCCCTTTAGAGAAAATCTGTTTCAAAGGCACATGTGGAATACATTTTTTTTGCTTGCTGTATGCTATCTATCCTGACACCAACACAGTACTATGTCAAACGGCACCCCAGATTTTGAAGGTTTCTACAGTATGGGTGTGTCCTTGGAAAGTGCATTCTGTTGAGTTCCCAGTCCTAACATGTCAGAGAACAATGTGAAGGAGTGTTTCATTGAAAATCCATAGAGCGTATTTGTTCATTAGTAAACAGTTAAGAGTTTCTTTTACTTTTGTTTGTTTGGGTTTATTTTTTAGAACTAAATCTTTGATAAGGCAATAAATACCTTCTTTTTAAAAATCTAAATAAATGCATGGCAGTAAATAGCAGCACCATGCAATATCACCGCTTAATGGAGGTTAGGTTACCTCTGCCTAAGTCTACCCAGCAGGATACCAGCACACTAGTAGGTAACAGTGAGACACGGGCACATGTACACTGTACCTAGCACACACCAGTCATGCAGTGACCTCCACAAGGCTCATGCCACCTGGCAGTGACAGAGATACATGCCATTAAGTAATTACCCACAGCATGCATTAAAAGTTTATTAGAGATTATCAAAGAGGAAAATCTCAGCTAATGCTTTATTTATTTAGAAACAAACAAAACAGAAACAGAACTCTGGAATCCTTTCTTGAGCTTTCATTCTGAAATGTATTACCAAGGCCGTGGTAGAAGCCCTCTCTCCAGAATGGAGGCGTGTCTAACAACAACAAAAACCCTTGTCTGGTACTCAACTAAATGTCCAATGCTGCTATGTATATAAATACTTGCCAAGATGCTAATCTTAAATATATTATCTTGATGCATAAAAACATATCTAAAACAAAGGCACAGATGAAAACAGTATATACAAATGCACAGATAACACCAGCACTGCTGTCAGAGCCCACAAAGTATGGCAATGGCAAAACAATTGGTCTCCATTCTACTGCAATTTACATCCAACATCTCTCCTCACGCTCCCTCATGTGCAGAAGAGAAAACTGTACCTTAGATCCAACTACGAAATAGAAGGCCATTTGGTGCAAATTACTTAACTCTAGTTAAAGTGGATATCAAATGTCTTTTCCCTAAACATGCGTCTATAAATATATAAGAACAATTCATTTTATTAAATGGATTCAAACATAAAAACTGACCTTCGTCACATACCTAAAAGTCCTATAAAAATAAACTTCAAGATGATGACTTCCTTATGCAGAGAATCTGGAATCCTGGAATGAGTGAACCTTAAAAATCTTATTACATGGCATTTGCTGTAAGTAACAGGTGCAGTGTTTATCTTCTTAAAGGCATAAGTCAAATAGCCTCTTCTTTACTCTCATTGCTTTCAGATCAGTTGAGACAGCTGGTCTGAGTTGGGCCTGAGCTCAGTGGTAGAATGCTTACCTAGAATGCATGAGGCCCCGGGTTCAATCCCCAGATACAAAAAGAAAGAAAGAAAGAAAAATGACCTAAAAGTGGATCCTCAAAACTAGAGACAGAGGACAGGAAGAGGAAAAGATCAAAGTCCCTTACAAAACAAGAGTGAGAGAAAGAGAAAGGGGGGATGGGAAAAGGGAGGGGGAAACAGAAGGACCAGACACACTGGGCAAGGACCCCAGGAACTTTTAGATAGCCCGTAATAATATTATCGGTACATTAGTGGACAGAATAAGGAACGCAAGACTCTGGGGTGGAAGGGTCATATGTCCTTCAGACTATGGCAGGGGTTGTTAAAAACTCAAACTATTTTCTCACCCTGACTATATTTCTTAAAATCCTAAGCCATAAATCATAACCCAAGGGAAAAATAAGAGAGTCATAAAATAATAAAGTTAGGACCTAATTGCATATCCACGAGCTTTTATCTTCTTGAAGTAAGGTGTGGACCAGCACTCAACTGCTTCCTGTATCATTTCAATCTCCTAATCAACAGTGACAGGAATCTGTTGATGGTCTGTTCATCAAGTGTCTTCGAGGACACTTTAAAAAAAGACATACACAAGCTGGGGAGAGCAACCAAATGGAGGAAACACAGTATCAAGGCAGGAGACAAGATAAACTAGAATCTGATTTTGAGAAACCTAATTCTCAGTGTGCACATGATGTAAGCACAGGGATACCGTCACTAGCTCACACTCACGTGTCCCAGTTTCTCAACAGGCGCCACATTTGGAAGGGAGTCATGTGAATGCGTGTGCTACCTGCACAGGGGGAATGTTCAGCACTCAAAGAGTTGATGCTGACTAACTAGGTGATAGAGACTGTGCTTTCTCTACAGCTCAGGGTATCTGAGCAGAAAGTCAGTGTTCTGCAGGAGGCAAAATGGCCAGAGCTCGCTGAAGAGCCAGGAGGATGCCCAGCGACATACTCTGCAGAGTATTTTTAATTTTAAATGTTCCTCACAGAGGAGGGTTGGGCCAATGAAGAGAGGGAGAAAATTACAAAAGTAGACAGTGTGCCCACCTAAGTCACAGGCAAGGTGCAACCGGTCCCTCTGATGGACTTGTACTTCCTCGCCGTTCTTAGAATTATGGTGACGTTGCTTCCTTTATGGTTTCTGTTTTGTTTGTTTTGTTTTTGAGACAAGATCTCCATATAGCTCTGGCTGTCCTGGAACTCACTCTGTAGACTAGGCTGGTCTAAAACTCACAGTGACCCACCTGCCTCTGCCTCCCAAGTGCTGGGATTAAAGATGTGAATCACCGTGTGTAATAAAGGACATTTCTGTTATAACTGAAGCAGCAGAGGGGACAACCAGTGCTGGGATCTCAGGAAAGCCTGATTTTCAAGGGTTTCTCTACAAATATTTGTGGTAATTCACACCACAAAAGGAGGTCAGTTTTACTTGTGGAAGACGAAAAGTTGTGGAAATCTGTCTAACATCCCAAACCCTGCTGAACTGAACACTTAAAAGTGATTAAGATGGAAAATTTCATGTTATTTATTTTTAATCATAAGAAAAAAATATTTTCAAATAATAAAAGAAAAAGGAAAGGGGGCTCTAAATCCTTGAGATCACTACATTGTTGTTCTTTTTTATTGAAAAGCTGCTAAAGAAAAGATCAATCAACACTGTTACTAATCATCAAGTAATTTCTACAAATGAGCACCTTAAAGATGAATGACAGTTGAAACAAAAAAAGGAAAAAATTTCTAGTTTGTACACTTCTGAGACAACGTTGCTGCTGAAGGACTTAAATCAATTTCTGCATCTACCTCAGATGACAAATCTACCTGTCTAGGCTTTATGTCCTAAAACCAAAGAGGGGTGGGGGCTTTGGAGACTCTAATCGTGCCTTAAGTCCACCGTCCCCATGACCCTTCGCAGGTGGGAAATAGCAGAGTAGCAATTTTCCCAAGGTGTCACAGAGAATCTCCAAACTCCCTGTTCAAACCTGAAGTAGAACAGAAGCCCTTCAAACATGAGAAGACACGCACTGGAATTCATACCTGCACTTCACGGAGAGTTTCTGCCCAGGCTGAGCTGGAACAAGGAAAGCTCCCCCCGACTCTCTTAGGAAGTCACAGTATCAGTGTCTGAATGAGCTGGAGCAACGTCATGCATAAATTCCTTCACCTTTTGCGATTAACTAACACTCTGAAGCAAGGAATGCCCACTTTTATTTGTATAAATCCCTTTAGGAATGACTGCTTCACTCACTGACTCGGCCCTAAGTAAGCAGCGACATGCATTCAGTGATTACATCTGGGAATGGAGAGAGCTGGACCGGCATTGGGAACTTCACTTATTACTTAGAATCTTTTTCGTTTCCCCTTACCAAATGTCACCTCTCCATTGCCGCTCTTGTCAAACAATTGGAAAGCCACTATAAACATGGAATCTGGAGCACATAAAACAGATTCAAATGCCAAAAACTCTTGATAGGAGATCAACCTGGAACAAAAGATAAAATGTTACTGGGGCTGGTGGGATGGGGGCTCAGCCGTTAGGAGCATGTGGTGTTCTCACTGAGGACCCAGATTCAATTTCCAACACCCACATCAACTACCTGTTGATCCAATGTCCACTTCTGGCTTCCAAGACAGCGCATGTTTGCGGGCGTGCACAAACACACACACACACACACACACTAAATTGCTTTTAACTACTAGATAGTAGAAAATAGGGCAATACTGGACCTTTTAATGAATCAGAGTTGGAATTTAATAAAGATATGTAAATACCATATATATATATATATATATATATATATATATATATATATATATATGAGTTAAAGCATGAGGATTAAGAGAAAGGGGCCCTCAGACATCAGTAAGACACACTTGAGAGCATGGGTGTATACTTCCTGTAGAAGTCACAGAAAGGAAAACGTCCCTTGGGTACCTCTCCTCAAGAGTCATCAACACCAGGCATTTACTATGTGTCGTATGGACTGTAGCTCAGGGTAAGCAGGGTGGATACATTCGTGGAAGGGAAGGAATAGTACATTTTTGTGAGCCCTTAACAAATTAACGAACATGAGCATTAATCAATAGCTCCTAACATCAGAAAGACAGGAACAGGCCAAAAATAAGCCTGAATTTGATCAATAGTGTCTCAACCCCAGCACTGCTGACATTTTTAGCTGGGTAATCTTTTGTTGTTGGGTCTTCTATGATTTGTAGCATATTTAGCAGCATCCCTGGGTTCTGAGCACGAGATGTCAATTTCATCTCTCAGTTGTGATAACCGAAAATGTCTTTAGATATTGTCGAAGATGTCCCAGAAAACAAAATTACCCCCATTGAGAACCAGTGATTTAGAACTAATCATCAATTTAGAGAAAACGCGATGCACAAAGGAGCATGTTAACCGCCGCCACTGAAACGCAGCCTGTAGGAAACCACGCGACAGCACGGGGGTCCCAGAAAATAAGATTTAGAAAAGATGCTCTCTTGGCCTCCGTGCGTCTTCCGTGAAAGTCCTGCGCCACGGAGCGAAGTGCAGGAGGGAGTAAAAGTGCCTGAGAAGAGAGATGACGTAGAGGTCCCTGTAAATCAGCTTGTGTAACCCCGGGGGCTGACGGAGCAGAAAGAAGGGATGCTGGGGCAAGTGGTTTGACTGTAATTTCTGTTGGTAATTCATCCCCAAGGATCTGAGATTTCACCATCAGATCACCAAACGCACCTCTGAGAGACTGCCCTGATTAGAACCAAAACAGTCCCCGATGGCCCTCTGCCTCGGATCTGTGGTTTTCTACCTCTCTTCGCATTTGTGCCCAAGTGTAACTCAGGTATAAGAAATCTTTTCTATCTCAAAGTTTCAGCTGAAGAATCTGTATCTATATCTAAACATATATATGTATTTATACACACACATATACTGACTTCAAAACGGGTGTGGTGGTGCATGCCTATAACTCCAGCACTGGGAATATGAGACAGGAAAATTAGGAGTTCGAGGCCAGCTTCTCCTATATAGCAAGTTCAAGGCTAACCTAGGCTACATGAGATAAGGAGGGCTGGGAATCTTCTAGAAATACAAAAAAAAAAGTATTTGTACACAAATTATGCCATCTGGAGCTTTTGGCAAAATAAGTCAAAGGACAGAAATTTAAATGAAATAGATTGAATAATTATTTTGATAATTACCAAGAGTGATGAACACAAGAAATCACTGTATTATTCTGTTATGTTTGAAAAGACAATAATACATCTTTAGTGAACCCTCAGAACAAAAGGTGAAATCTTACATAACGAATTTCTAGAACTTAAGCCCTAAGATATATATTTAGTGAGTTCTGCAGTTAACTAGTAGTCAAAACAGCCCAAACCTCCTCTAATGGCCTCATGGAGCATGCATGCGTCAGCTGTAAGAATCACAGTAATATTGACGCTGAGATTCCACACTTCTGTTCCTTCCTTTCCTTTCTTTTTGACAGCGTCTCACATAGCCCAGGCTGGCCTCAAAGTCTCCACGTGGTAGAGGATGATGTCGAACTCCTGATCTTCCTGCATCCATGCACAGAGTGTTGGGACTACTGGCTTGGGCGCCTACAAAACCACCCTCCTAGGTCTTCTGAAAGCTTGTTAAAGACAGTCTGACTTTAAAGTAAGTTAGGTACAGTATCAGGGATGAAGGATGGCCCTGGACAAGTTCCTTAGCCTCTCAATTTCCTCATATGGAAAAGTTTAAATGTAAGTCTCAAGCTGCTTTGAGAAATCCGTGATGTGAAGTAAATGTACGATGCTCGGCAATGAACAGGCACCATTGCCCTTTGGCTATGGCCAACACCATTGCTATTAAATAAACCCCAAGGCACCATCAAAAGTATGTCTGCAAAGAGGGGTGACACCTGGGCTCAGAGGTGGACCCTTAAATTCCATCCCTGGCATTTGGGATCTGCCCACCTCATGTTGCTGGCAATTGCCCTGCATCCTTCCCTGAAAACCATGGTGGCACTGGGCTATGGTGGCTCATACCTTTAATCCCAGCACTCACGAGGCAGAGGCAGGCAGATCTCTGTGAGTTCAAGGTCAGCCTGGTCTACAGAGCAAGTTCCAGAACAGCCAGGGCAACACGGAGAAACTCTGTCTCAAATATATATATGTAATAATTCTAAAACTTAAAAGCAATAGATGAGCTGATTATGTATTTTTTAAAAACAAACAAACTTGCAACAACTTGATTCTTGTTGCATTTTGTTTTATTATTTTGCTTTTTGTTTGTTTGTTTTAATGAGACAGGGTTTTGAGTCTGTGTAGCCTTGGCTGTCCTGGAACTCGCTCTGTAGACCAGGCTGGCCTTGAACTTGTAGAGATCTGCTGCCTCTACCTCCCTAGTTCTAGGATTAAAGGCGTGGGTCACCACTGCCTGGCAACAATTTGATTTTTTTAAGTATCCAGAATTGGGCATCCAAAATACAAGTAACCTTGAAATACAGACTGTATCACTTTGAAACATATTTCATGCCCAGTAACAAAACTTTCTTTTTTATAAGAGAAAATCAAAAACTAGCTCCCTATCCAGCAAAGGCCATAGCTGCTGGTTAACAAGTGGAATCTGTCCAACAGATATGCTTTCTTTGGCAAACAAAGACTTACTTTTCCCCATGCACTTGCTGGCAACATTAGGAAATTCTAAGATTCAATACAAATATCCAGCTTTCTGATTTCCCTTGACACATTGCAAGCTTGGGCAACCGGCGGTTTTTGGTCCTAAGTGACTCTTGGTAGCTCTTGGTGCCAAGCAGGAGCTACCTCCAAAAAGTCAGCTGTAGTCATCGGCTCCCTATGCCTGGTAAGTCACACTGGTGACTTACGGAAGTTTACTATATGCAGCAAGCAGCTCCTGTTAAAATGCAAGCCCTATACGGAACCTGCTAAATTGATACACTTTGCCCATCATCATATCCAGACATCCACCAAACTACTGAGTGGCTAGGGTTTGGGCGCCAGTGGGGCACATCTATAGCCACCGACTTCCCTACTGGTCCATCTGCAGGAGAAATCAGGCATGGGATGGCTCTCCAGATCCCCAGACTTTGCAGGATGAGCACCTCATCCTTGGCCAAAGTCCACCTATTCTTTAAATTGCTTTTATGGGGTGCAGTGGGGGTGGGGGACCACACTGAAATCCTGATCTTCCTGCTTCGACCTCCTGAGTACTGAGAATTTTGATTTGAAATTGGGTATTTTATAACTTTGAAGTAACACATTTTGGGAATGTGTAGTGTGCTTTTCCCACCAAGGCCCTTATCAGAACGAACTAATGTAATGCCAAAATGTTTGCGTGACTTTTGTAGTTCTCTACAAAACAAAACAAAACAAACAAAAACCACTAATGAAGAATCAGAGAAAGGAACTGGGTCTTCCCAGTAGCGCGGAGAGCACTTCCAGATGAAATCCTGGCTGGACTAAATATAGACAGCACTGTCCTGGAAGTTAGAGTTTCACAGAAGCAACTGTCTAAATATTTTAGAGCAGAGCACATGATAATAGCCTCCGTGATCTGCATTTAATGCATAAAATCATCTCGCTTTTCATTACGCAACTAGAACTCCCAAGTTTAAGCCACGGTCTCACAAATAACACTTGGCTGACGGCTTGACTTTGAGACACCCCATCAGGCTATTTATACCACACAGGGGCTGCTTCTGCGTGACTCTCTTATTTCACCGTCTAATGGTGGGCAGGAGATGGCAAGAGAGAAAAGTTCCTGGGCTGGAAAATATCAGGTGAGATACTACGTTCCTTTGTGCTCAGAGAGGTCCAAAATCAATATAAAAGCAGTCACAAAAGACTTGCTTGAAAGCACGGATATTCTAAAAGCAAGTCTCAGACCTGATCAACAAAGGAAGACTCCTAACCACCCCTAAGCTAGCGTCAGCCTCACAGGCCATCAAATATCTTGAACTTGTCTCTATGGATCCTACTCATTGCTTGGTTTCCCTTGGTCAGGGTGATTCTAAGTGATACCACTGTGGCCATCTCGCGGCACACCCTGGACTTGGCATCAAAAATCTGTAACAGGCCAGGCAGGTGGTGGTGGCGCATGCCTTTAATCCCAGCACTTGGGAGGCAGAGACAGGCAAATCTCTGAGTTCGAGGCCTGGTCTAGAGTGAGTTCCAGGACTACACAGAGAAACTCTGTCTCGAAAACCAAACAAACAAAGATTGTAACAGAGCCTTAACAGAGGCCAGAATAAAAATAACTATGTTTCATTCTCATCCTTCATTCGCTCACCTGGGTGATGGTGACAGAGAGAGAGACCGCTGGAGAAAAGGGAGTTGGCGGCTGTAGTTTTCCGGGAGGAAAGGGGACTGGATGCTCAAAGAGCTAATACTTTATTACCGAGGAAGCCTCTTTTCCTTAACTGTCAAACAAAGGCCGACTTCTTGGAATGAGTCAAATGTCATCAAAGACTTTGATTCTGTTGGATTACGATGTAAACCATAACACTGAGCCTTCCCAAAGCCTGAAGTTTCTTCCTAGAAAACTTCTTATACAAATCCATCTATTAAGCACTGGAGTCAGGAAGTTCAACAACCTCTAAACATCATGCATCCACAAACAGGCAAGAATCCAAGTCTTCTAGAAAACTCTATCCCCCCCCCAACACACACACCCCTACTTCTGGAAGTAATTTGTGGGCAAAATGAAAAATAAATGGAAAAAAAAAGTGGAAAGGGCTGCCAGATGTGGTGATGCCTGTAACCCAGCACTTGGGAGCGTGAAGCTGGGGGATTAACATAAGTTTAAATGCATCTCTCACAACCGCAAGAAAAGGGAGCGTGGGAGGGCATCTTTAAAAGGTAAGCTCACACCTCTAACCTCAGCACTGAGAGGCAGAGACAGGCGGATCTGTGAGCTGTAGGTTAGCCAGGGCTACATAGTGAGACTCTGTATTTTTAAAAAAAAAAGGGGGGGGGGAGGGAGTAAAGTCAATTCAATATTACTAGATTCTTCACTACACAAAGCTATTATTGATCTACTCTGCCAAATTAATACTACTTAGATTCTTCTTGACCACATGAAAAATGGCCTACTTTGACAATGCACTTCATACTATAAGAGTAATAAGTTTCACGAGAACTAAAACAAGACGGTCACAAAAGGCGTGAGGTATTTATGTGAAAACATGGGTATTCTAAAACCATGTCTAGAATTGGAGAGGTGGCTCAGAGGTTGAGAGCACTGGCTGCTCTTCCAGAGGATCTAGGTTCAGTTCCCAGCACCCACATGGTAGCCCACAGTCAGCTGCAACTTCAGTCCCAGAGGATTTGATGCTCTGACCTGGCTTCCTTGGGTCATACATGCAGGCAAAATACGAAATAAAAATAAAAGGAGAAAAATAGGGCCAAGTGTGGTGACGCAGCTTTGATCCTGGCACTCGGGAGACAGAGGTAGGTGAATCTGTGGGTTGAAGGTCTGCCTGGTCCACATAGTAAGTTCCAAGACAGCCAGGACTAAATAGAGAGACTCTTGTTTCAATAAATAAATACAAAACCAGGTCAACAACAAACATGTCAACATTTTCTAAAAGAGCGAAATGTATGTGCTACCTTTAATAATTCAGAAAGAAGAATTCTAATTAAACAAATTAATAATTTCCATAGACATTCCAACTAACTGCTACTTAGATAAATGACCTGATAGGCAGTTTGGGAGCTAATCTTACATTTTGGATTGGTTTGGTTTCAAAACAGAGTTTCTCTGTGTAACAGCTCTGGCTGTCCTGGAACTGGTTCTATAGACTAGGTAGGCCTCAGACTCACAGAGATCGACCTGCCTCTGCCTCCCAAGTGCTGAGATTAAAGGTGTGTGCCTTTAATCTAATATTAAAAATGATCTGACATTATTAAATATTAAGTTTAATATCAAAATGATCTGACATTTTTAAGATTAGACAGAAATGTATAACTTTTCTCCAACACCTGCCATTTTCAATGATACATCTTTCCAAGTCATTAAAGACTCATTGAGTAAACAGTCGTTGAATGTACCAATTCCTGCACTGGGCCTAGTTCTATGGGACAGTAAAAGTGAACTCAGAGTCAGCTCTGGCAGGAAGCAGCTCCTGGGCCAGTCTTGCTCCTTCAGCCATTACAGTAGTCAGCAACTAAACTGCGTGAGACCAGTCTTGTCTTCTCTGACCTTCTCTTCTAAAGCATGATCATACTTATATGACCATATGGTCGTATTTATAGTGATAGATTAAGACTCTTCGCTGCCCAGTTTTTTATACAATCACCTCTACATCTAGGGGAAAAATCCTGGGTCCTTGGGGACCTGGAGATATAGCTGAAAACTACCACAGTGAGCAATTGCTTTCTTTATGTAATTCAATAAATATTGTATTTGTTCCATAGTTCAGCCCCATGCAATTTCGCTAACATTAACAGCTCCCCTTGAGGAATGGACTAACTCCACAGTAAGATGAATCTTATTGCTTCTGTGGCTTCACACCCATACACTACCAGGCTAAAAGCACCGCACGACTGGGAGTCATTACGTAGAAGACACAACAAAAGCCCAGCACACAAAGTCCCCAGTTTCACTCCAACTACGTCTTCTGTAGCAACAAAGCAGTGCCAAAGCTGTCACACCAAAGTACTTACAACATAAGTTCCCCACTACTTACACACACACACACACACACACACACACACACGCACGCACACACGCACGCACGCACGCACGCACGCACGCATGCGCTTGCGCCCTTTCGTGTCCCAAGGCAATCCTTTTCCCCCTCCCTGAAATTAGGCTCCCAATGGTTTCATTCAAGAGTCAACTCTCCTGTGATGCCGCCCTAACTACTCAGAGTTAAGGAAGCATCCTGGGCACTTCCGCTTTCTAGATATATCATCACTCTGTCTTACTTCAGAAATACTGACGGGTGTTTTCTTTGTCTGGTCCTCTTTCCTGCTAAGCTATGAGCTTAACTCTTAAGGTCAGCAACTTCATTTTATTCATGCTTGTATTTACAAAGCCCAATAGCACCTGGCAAAGTGTGGTGTTTAACAGAATGTTTTCCAACTGGATAAGTACACAGATGAATGCAAATCACTCCCTACGATCTTCACAGTGCTTATATCCTCCTAACATGCTATCGTTTACTTTTTAAATTTTCTTTATTACCTTCGTGACTTGTTTTCTGACACATTCTAACACTAAGGATAATGCCTGACCCATTAGCAGGGATTCAATATTTTTCAAATAAATGAATTTTTAAAATTAGCAATAAGGAGCCCATCCTCAGATTATTCAATATAAGATATGGTTTCTCTCATGTAAATTTTTTTTCAGAAAATAAGAAATGGCAGCAAGTTGGATAATGGCAGTAAATAATACGATTTTATAAGTTTCAAAGGAAAGATATTGATTACTATTAAAACTCTAGATACAGGGCTGGAAAGATGGCTCAGCAGGTAAGAGCACTTGCTACGCTTACAGATGACACAGATTCAGTTCCTAGCACCCACAGGGCAGCTCACAGTCTCTGTAACTCAATACCCGGAGAACTGATGCCATCTTCTGGCGCCTCACACACCATGCACATAGAACATATACATATATGCAGACAAAACACTTACACACATAAAAGTGAAAACATTGTTTAAATAATTCAAGATGCGGGCTGATCATGGCGATGCACCTTTAATCCCAGCACTCAGGAGACAGAAGCAGGAGGATCTCCTTGAGTTCAAGGCTAGTCTAGTCTACAGACTGAATTCCAGCCCAACCAGAGTTATGTAGTAAGACCTTGTCTCAAAAAAATATGAAATTTGCAGTTTTACATTTTTAATAAAATGGACGATTAATTTTCAAAACAGGTATAAAATTCTTACCCATCCTTGGTTTGATCAGCTACTCCTGCCAAGAGCTGCACAATCTTTGGGTTGCTGTTGGGGTCATTGTACAGGCCAAGGTAGCGCTGAACGAAGTCTTCTGGGGTCATGTAATGTTCTCCATCCACCTCAGTACTGGCATACTGAAACATAGGTAAACAAGGCACATGAAAACGTAGGATGGGTCAACATCATGAGGTCGCTAGCAGTCGTTTGGGGGAATGTAAGCCAAAGTACGGTACTGAAATCAACACAAGGAAAATGAATGTGGATATTACCTCTGGGTAGGGAAAAGCCAAACACACGGAGACCAATTTAAGACCACAGTAAAGCACTGATACATGGTCAACCTCGACAACCCTGCTAGGTGAAATGAGCTGGACACAATAGGCCCATAATGTAGGATCCCATTTATATCAAAAGTCCCCAAAGGCAAGTACATGGGGAAGAACACAAAATGGTGACTGCCGGGACCTGAGAGAGGGAGACAGGAACTAACTGCTCAATGAATCTGTGGTTTCTCTCTGAGAACGAGGAATGTGTTCTGGAATTATGAATGAAGGTCACACATTATAAATATTTAAGATAAAACCACTACGTAGTATGCTTTAAAATGGTTACAACAGGGACCTTTATGCCATGTGACTATTTAATCTCAGTTAAAAATACATGAGGTGGGGCTGGAGGGATGGTTCAGGGGTTAGAGTACTGGTTGCTCTTCCAGAAGATCTGGGTTCAGTTCCCAGCACCCACAGCAGGCAGCAGTCTGGAACTCCAATTCCGGGGCTCTAACTCCCCCTTCTGGCTTCCTAGGGCACTGCAACCATGTGGTGCACAGACGCAACATGTAGGCAAACACTAACACACATAAAATAAAAATAAATGAATTTTTTAAATAAATAAAGAAAAGAAAATACATAGGGGACAGCAAGAAGACTCAGTAGGTAAAGGCCCTTGCTAACAAAATGATGATCTGAGTTCAATGCTAGAGAACCACACAGTAAGAGAGAATTGATTTCCAAAAGCTGCCCTATGACTTCCACACAAACATTCTATCACACACGCACAACACACACACACCCTAAATAAGTGTAAAACCATACTATGTAGGCTGGGGGGGGGGGTACACTTTATCCTATCAGGAGTTTAATCTACAGCACTGAAAACCTAAAATAAGGAAGTAAAAAATAAAAACATTAAGATAAGAGATACCAGAAAAATTAAGGAAAGTGAAAGAGAGGCCAAGGCCCTGAAGGTAATGGTGCGGGAGAATTGTCTGTATTCTGTCAATCATGTTTTAAATAAACGCTGATTGGCCAGGCCGGAGGTGTAGGTGGGAAAACCAGACAGGAAGTGGAAATGATGCAAGGAGAGCAGGAGAATTCTAGGGAGGAGGTCGCTGATTCCTCCCACTCCTGCCCAGGCCACCGAAGCAGCAGGATGTGTGTGAGCTGCCCCACTGAAAAAGGTACTGAGCCACATGGCTAAAATAGATCAGATAAATGGGTTAATCAAGATGTAAGAGTTAGCTAATAAGTAGCCTGACCTAATGGGCCAATCAGCATCATACCTTACTGAGTCCTCTATGGTTGATTTTCATTGGGGCTAAACAGGCTGGGGGAACCGGGCAGGACAGAAAACACAAACTAGCAGGCCCGGCCTTCTCATGTTACAAGGTAAGCTTGCAGACACCTCACTTCCCAGACGTATTCTAAAGAGACCTTCTATTATTCCAAGTCCCAGCCACTGGAAAAAAGAAGCAAAAAGTCTTCTACATCTCATGTCAATTTTTTTAAAAGTATTCTTATTAAAGAAACCCCTTATCATTTTGAGGACTCTGTGCTTGGTGGCATGACCAAGCTTCATCACCAGCAAAGAAGTAAGATCTGGGAATTTCCCAAACTGAAGATTAGAAGAGCTCATTAAATGTCAAGCACAAGAAGAGGGAGAGAGGGAGAGAGGAGGAAGAGGAGGAGGAGAGAGAGAGAAAGAAAGAAAGAAAGAATTAATGTAAAAAAAAGTTACCAAAGCCTCACTCACCCTCATAAAACTGCAGGACAGCAAAATAAAAAAAAGAATAATCCTTAAAGTTCCCAGAAATAAACACTGGGTCAGAATAAAGAATTAGGGCAACACTTATAGACAGAGGATGGAGGCCCAAGATCGTTTCGAACCGGGAATTCTAAGTGCTCCATCACATGTAACGTTAGCTACACTGTTTTGAGATATCCATATTCTCAACATTACTTTCCTGCCTCTGTGCGCCCTTTCTCGGGGAACTGTGGCCTTTTGTGTTACTTGTATTCACCTGGGGTGGGCGTCCGCGGCACAGCATGAACGTGGAAGTTAGAGAGCTGCTTCCCAAAGCCATTTCTCGCCTTCCACTATGTGGATCCCAAGTGTCAAACTCAGCCACTATGCTGAGCCCTGGTGCCTTCATCAGCTCTGCTAACTCGCTTGATCTAGTCAAATTGACTTTTAATTTTTCAGAGAGAGTGAAATCAGAGAGAGTGGTTATGCAGGAACCAGGGGCACGTGAGGAAACCCACTGAGGAAACGGGCAAGGGAACCAGGACCCTGGTGCTGCAGACCTCCAGGGCGGACAGAGAGCTCAGGAAGCAAAGTGACCAGGAAACACCAAAGACCAAATTATCCAAGGCACCGTGAGAAAGAAAGGGATGCTGGGAAGAGTGCAAGCCTGCTCTGATGTCACTTCATCACAGAGCTCCACCTTCATCACCTATTTGATGCTCTAGCTTGGCTGTGCATCTAGAACCCCTACCCTCTAGCATGTGTCTATCCTCCTCCAGCACCGTATTTTACCATCTCCTACCTGAAATATCGGGGGAGCATCTTTGTCCAGTTTGTTCCCTAATATACCCCCAGCAAGAAAAATGGTGCTAGGCACTCAAAAAAAGCATCCATTCAATTAGTGAATCGGTAGGGGGTATACAAACAAGCAAATAAAAGCTGGACAATCTTTAACTGTAAAAAAAAGTATTTTGTTGGAAAAAAGAAGAAATATCAAAATTAATGACTTGATCTGGGGTGGTGGGGGCTCACATCTGTAATCCCAACACTCAGGAGGCGGAGGCAGGAGGACCATATGGTGTTTGAGACTAGCCTGCCTCGGGTAAAGGCATTTACCACCAAGTTTGCCAAGCTGAGTTCAGGCCTGTGCCAACATGGTGGAAAGAGAAAACAGTCGTTTAAGTTCCTTCTGCCCTCCACACGTACACTGTGCCAGCATGCATAAGCGTACACGCACACATCATAAACAAAATGTATTTAAAAAAAACATATTAAGCCAGGCATGGCAGCAACACACCTGCAATCCCAGCACTGGGGAGGCAGAGGCAGAATCAGGAAGCTCATTCCCAGCTCACTACCAGCCTGGTTTATATAACAAGATCCTGTCTCAAACGAACAATCGAAAAAGCACAACGAAGCTCAAAATAATTACTTGCAGTCAGAATGATGATACTAAATAATAATCAAATGCTAAAACAGTATTGGGAGGATGGAGGGGAAACCTGAAAGTATCATAAAGAAGGCTAGCTCATGCACAAAGCCCTGGGCCCAGTCCTGCATACTTAAGAAATGAGAAAAGCCTATACACATCAGCATAAAAATATAAAAGCAAACACCAAAACAATAGCTAAAGGAGGTTCAAGTGGCTGCCTCTGGGGAATAAAAGGCAGAAGGATCAGTGAAGGGACGGCTGGTTTGCTCTTTGGTTAACTATTTCAAATACATGTGAACTGAGTAAGCCATCTGTCTTCCGACCAGGAGAGGGAATTCAAACCAGAAATGTTTCCTTTGTCTTACTCGGAAAACATCAAAGGTCACAGCACGTTCTGTGTCAGCTTACAAGTGAAGGTGGACTTCTCTCCTAGCTGATGCCATCAAGAGCACTTGAGAAGCATCATCCTCCAGATGAATCACGTCCGGGCCACATGACTACAAAAGCCGCTCCTGAAGCTGCCTTGTTTCAATCCTGGCTCTGTTACAAATCGGCTCACGTGAGTCTTTAGACAAGCTCCTTCCTTTCCTAGAACTCTAGATCGTGCACACTCCTGTGCCATGACGATCAAGTAAATCTTTGATAAACTGAAAGAGTGGGTCTAAAAACAAAGGATAAAAAACAAACAAACAAACAAACTAACTAAAAAGCAAACCAAGGGCTGGCCGAACAGCGCCGCACAAAAGCACTGTCTCCAGCTCTTTCAGGAGGACCGTGAGTTTGGGTGGTTCACAAATGCCTATAACACTAGATCCCGAGGGAGCCAAGGCCTCTCACCTTCTGAGACACATTCACACGCACATTATCACCCCGCACCACACCACATATACACAGTTAAAATTAAGGGGAAAACATCAACCTTAAAAAGAATGAACTGGCCAGGCAGTGGGGGCACATGCCTTTAAGTCCAGCACTGGGGGCGGGAATGCGGGGGAAGGGGGCAGCAGAGGCAAGCAGATCTCTATGAAGCCATCCTGGTCTAAAAGTTGAGTTCCAGTACAGTCAGAGCTGTTACACAGAGAAACCCTGTCTTGAAAAACCAAACCAAAATATCGTATAAGATATTAGCAATAACAGTAAACAAATTCTAGACACTGATAAGTGTAGTTGATCAACTCTTGAAACATATTTCATCCCTTGTTCTTTCTTCAACATTTGCATAGGACACATGTGGGCTTTTTCATTTATTTTTGCTTTAGAAACAGTGTCTCCTGTATTCTGGGCTGGCCTCAAACTCACTATAACCTTGAACTTCAGATCTTCCTAACTCTACCCCACCATTCCCACCCCACCCCGTACCCTCAGTTCTGGGATCGCATGCATGAGCTACCCTGTAGCGCTGGCCTTGATCCAAGCTGGCCAAGCTCTCTACCAACTGAGCTACATCCTCAGTCCCTGGACAGGTTAAACAAGAACACAAACTCAGCAGAGCGAAGGGCAGGCAGGAGTAGGGAGAGGCACCGTAGTCACGGGGCTACTGGAAGTGGCGAGGGAGGTCAGTACAAAGAAACCTGATAGCAGGATTTACGGAGCCTGATGAGTCGACCAACATCGGGAACATGACTGCCAACACTAAGCAAGATCATAAGAACGCCATGGAAACCAAAGAAGTATCCGTGT